ATGTCTACTCTCTTGCTTGTGTTGTACATGGATAGAATAGTCAGGAGCTGTCAAGGTGATGAGTGTATCGGTGTAGGAGATATGAAGGCGAGAAGGTTGCTGTTTGCAGATGACCTTGCTTTACTGGCATCTTCTAAAACCGATCTACAGTACCCTAAAAAGTTTTTCGCAGCCGAGTGCGACGTGACCGGCATACGTGGGAGCGCATCTAAAACGAAAGCCTAGTGCTTCCTCGTTCTCCAGCCCCTTGCTCTCTTCAGATTAACGAAGAGGCAGTGGAGCAGGTGGAAAAGTTGGAGTACCTCGGAGTCGTACTTACTAGTGATGGAAGGTTTGAGGAAGGGATCGACCGGCGAATTGAAATGACCCGAATCGTTGTTACTAAAGCATATCTGAGTCAGTTTGAAGACTGTGTTCTGTTCAAATAGATCTTCATATCCATGCGTAGATACGGTCATGAGTCGTGGGTCATGACTGAGAAACTTCGATCCCGCATACAAGCGGCTGAAATGCGCTTCTGAGACGAGTCGTTGGCCCTACGCATCTCGAAATGGCAAGAAGTAAATGACTGCGCGAGAGCCTGGGTGAACAGCTGTTGCTTCTTCAGATTGACAAGTCACAGCTGCGATGGTTTGGGCAGGTGTTGCGTTGCGATTACATTGCGAGCAAGTAAAGGGAAGCCACTACTGCTTACACAGCCGACCGGCGATAGACTCAGGAGACGGCCAAGATTAACCTGGTACAGATATATGGACGGTCTCGCCTCTACATGCTGGCTGTCTTCTGTCGATGATCGAACTCTGGCAGAGGATCTGGAAGGTTGGACGCTCTGCCTGACGCGTGTGCCTCTGCGACTCGAATGGAGTAACGGTTGTAGTAAATGAAGATGATTACATCTTGTTGTCCGAAGCGGTTGGAAGGTTTTGAGCGAGAAGGCAAGCTTTTGATCCGTGCTGTTGATTAAATAGTTTCTGGTCGGCAGGGGCGGCAAGGCTCATCCAATCCGTAATTCAATCTTTGCCCAACGTTCTTTTCATAAAATACAGATGAGGGAATCTGCATGATGCACGATGCCGGAAATTATGAAAATCTTAACATATTTACATGCGCCCTAGGTATTTGTAAGAATCAATAATGTAGGTAAACCACAACAAACGCCCAGGAGTAACCGTATCGCAGGGTTCTCATGGCCTTGTAACGTTCAAAAGACAATTGATAGTCGCTGCATAGCATTGTTCTATTCGATGAAAACTTAAGGCCTTAGTCTAATCTAGGGAAGCGTTAGCGAATTTCGCATTTGCATGCATTCTTTCTATTTTTGCCTCTGGCAACTATATTTTTTCCTTGATCATTGGTTGTGATTTTAAAGAGTAAGAAAATCACTTGAGCATATTCAAGACTCTGGGGTGTTCCTCTAAAAGATTCAACTTTGCGTATTGCCGGATCAGAAGCGCCTCACGATTTTCATTAATGAGGCAAATCATTAGTAATTGCGATCACTGGTCGCATGATAGTCTGACACAGCACATCCTGCTTATCTCGGCTTTTCGATATTTAGGCAGGAAGAAACTCTACTAAAAAGCAATTATCTAAGCCTCAGCGCATATACTCTGTCACTGTCACTGCAACTCGGTCAAACAACATTACTTGAGTATCGATGTCGAAGAAAATACCGATTCGCGGCCTGCTTTGATACCAGTTAAGAGACTTCCGATTTCGATCCATGTTTCAAGGCAAAATTTTAAAAGTATCTGGGAATTTCCTTCACTCACTGACTCGTTTTTACGCCGAACACCAGCGTAGTCTTCAGAGTTATTTTACAGAATGAGAACAGCGCTAAACTATGAAATGAGGTTGCTCGACAACGTTTGTTCATTGATTCTTTTGGTCAAGCTAGCCGATTCCAATCCAGCCTTCGTTAGCCAACAAATCGACTGATTATCGAATGTACGTGTTCGTATAATTTGAGTTACAGCGCTGGACTGTCGTCAGTCGGCTTGTCCGGGCGAAGCAATGAACAAACGATATTGTCATTGAAACTCGTTTAATAATTTAACGCTGTTGTAATTGTCGAGTATAACCCTGAAGATATCGCTGGTGCGCGGCGTCAAAACG